TACGCATGAACAAAACGGAAGAGTTGAGCGCCGTAACAGACACATTGTCGAAACGGGTTTAGCTCTTCTTGCTCAAGGCTCCGTCCCACAAGAATATTGGGACTACGCTTTTGAAACTGCCACCTGTTTAATTAACTACATTCCCACCTCGGTCTTAAAGTTTGAAAGTCCATACTATCGCCTCTACAAAAAATCACCACCGTACCAATTTCTTCGTGTCTTCGGGTGTCAATGTTACCCCCATCTACGGCCTTATAATCGGCACAAGATGGAGTATCGTTCCACCCCATGTGTCTTCTAGGGATGGCAACGGGGCGGGGCGGGGGCGGGGAGTATGCTCCCCATCCCCGTCCCCGCTACCCCGTCCCCATCCCCATCCCCGTCCCCGTCCCCGACGGGGAATTAAAAATATTCCCCATCCCCGTCCCCGCGGGGAATTAGGCGGGGACGGGGATTCCCCATTCCCCGTCAACTTCTAGTTAAAATGTTAAATAATGTTAAATTTAATAATAAAAATTTTAAAATAGCAGTCCTAATTTTAAAAATTAAAATACTATCTATATATATAGTTAATTACATATACAAATATAGTGTACTGTTAGTATAATTACATATAAATGCAATACTGCCACCACTATATATATATGTACTATATTTATATATGTAATTATACTAATAGTACACTAACAGTGTATTATATTTATATATGTAATTATATATATATATATATATATATATATATATATATATATATATATATATATATATATATATTCGGGGACGGGGCGGGGCGGGGAGGGGTGTCCCCATCCCCGTCTCCGTCCCCGGCGGGGAATCTCAAATGTTCCCCGTCCCCGTCCCCGTCCCCGTTCCCCGAAAATCTTCCCTATCCCCGTCTCTTTCGGGGCGGGGATCGGGGATCCCCGTCGGGGACGGGGCACATTGCCATCCCTAGTGTCTTCCTAGGTTACCCACCGTCCTATAGGGGATACAGATGCATGGATCCAATCAGTGGGAAAACCTATATCTGTCGCCATGTGCGGTTTGATGAGAATGTGTTTCCCTTTGCAACAGGTTCTGTGCAGGTTCAGGACTCTACACCTGCATCTCTACCTTGGGCGTCAGCTCCCGTATCACCGGTGCAATCTTGCCAACTTATGCCAACTCCGGACCCTGAACCAGTCCCGTTGGCCCAAGAGGCACCTTTGTTGGCCATTGAGCCAAGTGCACCTAGACAGGCCCGGAAACGAACCGTTGTTCAACCTCTGGCTATGCGCCTTCGGCGTATGACTCGGGGTTCTAATGAAGAGCTCCATGCTCTAACAGCAACGACTGATCCAACGTGCTACTCCCAAGCTGTAGGCCATCCACAGTGGTGTGACGCAATGGATCAAGAGTTCAACGCTCTTCTTCACAACAACACGTGGCGATTAGTTCCCCCAAACCCAGCCATGAACATTATTGGGTGCAAATGGGTCTTCCATACAAAACGAACTGCCGATGGCTCGATTGATCGCTATAAAACTCGTTTGGTAGCCAAAGGCTTCATTCAAGTCGCAGGGGAGGACTTCTTTGACACGTTCAGTCCAGTCGTCAAACCCACGACAGTCCGCATCTTGTTTTCTTTAGCTGTCTCGAACAAGTGGACTCTCCGCCAGCTAGATGTCTACAACGCCTTCCTGAATGGCCATTTAGCCGAGACAGTATACATGAAACAACCACCAGGATATGAAGATCCAACACACCCTGATCATGTCTGTTTTTTGCAGCGGTCTCTATATGGGCTTAAGCAAGCTCCAAGGGCCTGGTTCAAAAGACTTCACGACTTTTTACTGTCTGCAGGTTTCTTTTCGTCCAAGACTGATGTCTCATTATTTTACCACTCGGCGGGTGTCTCGAAAGTGTTTTTACTCGTCTATGTGGATGACATCATCATGATGGGCAGTGACGCCGCTCTTGTTAAGTCCTTGCTACGTCGCCTTGCATCAGCGTTCAAGATTAGAGATCTTGGCACTCCAGGGTTCTTCTTGGGCATCGAGACAGTATCGGCTAATGGCGGGATGATTTTTTCACAGCATAGATACATGGTAGACTTACTTAATCGGTCTGGGATGACGGACTGCAAATCCCTCACTACTCCAGCGTCTGTTTCTCAAGCTGTCACTCCATCCGATCAGCCTTTTGAGAATCCTACGCAATATCGTCGCATTGTTGGGGCATTGCAGTACCTGACTATCACTCGGCCAGACCTCGCGTATGCTGTCAACCGCCTATGTCAGTTCATGCACTCTCCTACTGACGATCACTGGGCAATGGTCAAACGTGTGTTACGATATATTAAGGGTACTCTTAACTACGGTCTTCGACTTACTCCTTCCGCTTCAAGTGACATCCATGCCTACTCCGACTCTTACTGGGCTGGGTGTCCGGTCGACAGGAAAAACACCAGTGGCTATGCTGTCTTCCTCGGGAGTAATCTTGTTTCCTGGCTCTCTCGGAAGCAACGCCCACTGTTGCTCGCTCCTCCACTGAGGCGGAATATAAAGTCCTAGCTGATGTTGCTGCTGAAGTCACCTGGATGGTCTCTCTGTTGCGGGAACTTGGGTTGCACACTGGGCGTCCCTCCAACTTATGGTGTGACAACCTTGGCACTACATACTTATGCGCTAACCCTGTGTTTCATGCTCGGACGAAGCATGTTGAGATAGATTACCACTTTGTTCGTGACAAGGTAGCCTCCGCCGACTTCGTGGTCAACTTTGTCTCCACCAAGGATCAGCTAGCCTATGTTCTCACTAAGCCACTACCTGGACCCCGGTTTACAGCTCTGCGAGACAAGCTCAACATTGTGGATCATCAATCTTCTGCTTGAGGGGGTGTATTAGTGTTACTGTTATTATTATCATTTAATTATATGTAACATAGTTTGTATTTCTGTGGTCCTAGAATTAGTCTTATATTTCTAGTCTATTAGTCAGGAGTGTTTAGTGGTGAGATTAGATATACTCACGTGTAATTGTTTTGTGTTTGAATTGAATGAATTATCTTTCTAATCACTGGGAATAAAGTGGGAATTTAAATTCCAGTGTTTGGTTGACAGGAATATAATTACTGGGAATTTCAATTCCAATGTTTGGTATACATGGGAATTGAAAGGGAATAAGTAGTATAAAGTCAGAAATGTCCATTATTGTTGTTAAACATTAATTTTAAGTTAAAAAAGGAAGGGGTAATTTTGACTCATCACTATCTTTTTTTCCCAGGAATTAAAATCCCAGGGGGGACATGGGATTTTAATTCCATGAAAATGGAGGAATTGCAATTCCATGGAAATGCAATTCCCTCCAACCAAACTACGGAATTTAATGGCCTTTGGAATTAGGTGGGAATTAAGTGGGAAGGGAATTTAAAATCCCTCGAACCAAACACCCTGTTACTTGTTAAGATTAACTAGTTTTTTTATACTAATACTAAACCCTATACTATATATACATATATACATATATACATATATACATACAAATATTATACATGGGGTGGGGGTGGGGGTGGGGGGGGGGGGGGGCCCTTGCACCCCCTTTGGCTCCGTCCCTGGTTATATGATATATTTTGAGATTGAATTATAAAAAAAATTAAAAGATAATTTACTCCCTACCTTGTTATGAATATCTAATCAATGTAATATAGAAGCTTCTATCATATGTCATTGTACTCAAATTATTCTAAAAAAGATTGAAATTTATGTATTTAAAAGAAAAAGTATTTATAAAAATCATATAAATAATATAGAAGATGTGTGATTTATAATATGCTTTATGTTCAAACTATTTTATCTAGATAATTATGTTTCATATCTTTTTGCATTTTTTTATTGTGTTTTGAAATATTTTAATTTCTTGCTCCTAGTCAAAAAAAAAAAAATTTAGCTTCACATATGTTTGTAATTATTGTTTTGTAAATTTTTAATAATAATTAATTTATTATTTATTATGCTAACAATGTTATTGTTTATAAGTTTACTCAATTTTAAATTATTTATTCATTTTTATAAACTATAATAATTATTTATTTAGGAAGGCACTTATACGATTATTTATTATTTTGCATTAAGGAAAGCACCTGTAATTTTTTTCAATGATTATTATTGTGTATGTAAAATTGTTTAAAAACTTGTTAATCTTATTTAAAGTTATTGACATTAATAATTTTTCTTTATTTAATTTAAATTTTAGGCATGAAATATATATTAACCGGGATCTATTTTTTTTTTATCCTGCCCTGAGCCTATAAATTGATAGGACCGGCCCTGGAGGCAGTAGCTCGGGTCGGTGGCGATCGGACCAGACTTTGCACACTTAATGGGTTCGATACCGATCTAGTGTTATTTTATATTAACATTTTTATTTTATATTAATTAACTTTGATATTTTAAAATTGTACAGTATTTGCTTATTTCAATTTTCTTCGTATTAGGTATTAATTTAATTACGCAATCTGCATAGTATAACTACTATTTAAAATAATGGACATTTTAACTTTTCCAAATTGTAAAATTTAATTTAATCCTTCTTTGAAAGATCGGAGGAATACAACCGCGTTTAGAATTGACAAATAATTTTTAGGATTTACGTGTTGCAGTTAAAAACCTGTGATCTGGTCCAACCATAGTTATCCCTATAAATAATTTCCACTCACATCCTATAATCATAAAGTCAACATGGCTAATTAATTTACCCCTTGAACTGATGTCCTAAAATTAATTAAGGGAGGAGTCATATAGCTTAGCTTTCCTAATCATGGTTTTAATTAGACTTATTCACAAGAAATGTACTTCAAAGAAACTTCATGCATCCACATAGAGAAAGATTCAGAAACTACAGGCTGAGAGTTGAAATTAGGAAGGGTTTCCAGTACAAGGATATAGAAAACTTCAAAACCTACCCTCTCATCAACACATCATTCCAAACTATAAATATGAGATTTCTTCATTCCACTTTCACACATCTCTCTCGCTCTTTCTCTCTTTAATTTGTGAGTTTAAGTTAAGAAAATGGGGTTTTCACTGAAACAAGGTTGTACTCTACTCTGCATTTTCATGGTTCTGCCAGCTGCATTCTGCTACACCCAAACTTATCCTTCCAAGGCAACCTATTATACCACACCTGATGGCAAAGGAACTCCAAGTAATATATATGTCCTCAATAATTAATTTTACCTTTGAATGCTTATTTCTGCATGCCAACTTTAGTCAAGTTGGTCAGATTGTTCGACCTGTGGGAGTGGTCTAGGTTTTTTTAGTTTGAACTGACGGGATTTACGTACCCAGTGCCTATCCTAAGATAGTGGTTGCGGTTTCCCTTGTCACTCAAAATAAATTATTTCTGAAAATTTTCTTTGAATTGATTTGTAGCATTTTAGTTTGATGCTAATTAATAATGGTTTGGTTTGATTTGGTCAGCTGGAGCTTGTGGGTATGGGCAATATGGAAGAAACATCAACGATGGTTTAGTCTCCGCTGCCTCAAGCCGCCTCTATCGTTATGGTGCTGGTTGTGGCGCTTGTTACTTGGTATGTTAATGTTTAAATTTCACATTATATTTCTGGGCAACCCTAATCAAGTTAGTCAGGTTGTTAACTTGATAATGACAAGGTTACAAGTTCGACTACAAGTGATCGAAAACGTTATATTGGTTCTTTCTGTTTGAACTGATCAACTAGGATAACTTTGGTTGGTTTACCTCCTTGTGGTTGTTGGCTAAGATTATAAGGCGGAATTTATATAATAATGATATTTGATTGGATAGGTGAGGTGTAAGGATGAAACATTATGTAACAAAGAGGGAGTGAAGGTGGTGATCACAGACAATGGAGAAGGCCCCGGAACTGACTTCATTCTCACCCACAATGCCTACGCCGGACTGGCAAAACCATATGCCGCTAAGGATCTCTTTGCACGGGGCGTAATCGACGTCGACTACGAAAGGGTTTCTTGTGGGCATGGCAAGCTGAAGATCAAAATTCTTGAGCAGAGCAACTATCATGGATATCTTGCTATTCTCCCCTTCAATCAGGGTGGTGCCAATGACATTCTTTCCATTGAGGTCTATGAGGTTTGTATATATGTTTTCTTAACAATATTAATACAACATGTACGATCATTAACCAAATTGGTCGAACTGTTTGTTTGATAAACACATGATTTCGAATTTAACTCTCAGTAAAAATTAGTGGTCTATCGGCGTTCTTAGTTTGAGCTGATCAGCTATGAGCAATCTAAGCTGATTTACTTCAATGGGTGTCAAGGTAGGCAGAAGCCCGTAGGCCATCCCTAAACTGCCCCGCGGCGGGGCAGATTAAGACTTAGAACTTTTGGTCCGCAAAAATGCAGGCCTTGCGGGCTTGACGGGCAACGCAGGCTAGCCCGCATGAGCTGCGGGCTTTTCATTAATTTATATATATATATATATATATATATATATATATATATATATATATTAAAAATTATATATACATAATCCTAACCTACAGCCTTCGCATGCCAACTCGCAAAAGCCAGTGAAAATAAAAGCCCGCAGTGGGGCGGGCCAAGTCGCATTGACACCCTTATTTACCTCCTTGTCGTTCTTTTTTGTTTGAGTTGATCAGTTATGCACGATCTCAACTGGTTTACTTTCTTGTTGTCCTTTGCCAATTAGGATCATAACTTAAGATTTATCCGGTGCACATACTCGAATGTGGTTGCGTTTCTCTAGTTACAAAAAAAAAAAAAAAAAAAAAAAGTCTAAATGGTTAATATTAGTGTTTAAAAACACATATTTCAATTCTTGATTTGTTAGAAGTGTAATTAATTAATCAAAATCCTCTTGCTTGTTTTGCTAATGGTGTTTTGACTAAATTGTTGCAGAAAGCAAGCTACAAATGGATACCAATGAGACGTTCATATGGGACAGTGTTTGACTTGCAAAACCCACCAAAGGGAGAGCTTAAACTCAGGTTCTTAGTCAGCGGCCAAAAATGGATAGAGTCCAAAAAGGCTATCATTCCTGATTATTGGAAGGCTGGTTCCACCATTGACACTGATATTCAGCTCCCTTGAAGAAATTCCAATTTAATTCATACCAAATTTGTGCCCAATAAATTCATGTAATAATATTTATTTCTTAATAAATAATCATAATAAAAATAAAAAATAAAAGTAGTGTTAATGATCTTCAAAGTGATTAATTTTCAATTGTCATATCGTGCACTAGGGTGCACAATGCATTGTGTGCCCTAAAAATTCCTTGTTTCGTATTTACATAATTGTATAGTAGAATAGACATAAACTCCTAACATAATACACATAATCTAACATAATAGATAATACGTACACATAAACTCTTAACATAATACACATAAACTTTTCATATAATACAAATGAACCCTTAACATAATACACATAAACTCTTAACCCTAAGACTGCAGCATCTCAAATTCTTTTTGAGTCTGCACTATTTATCTGGTTTTCGGGAGGCTTTTTAACTTCACAACAACAAATCACATAAACTCTTAAGGCGCACAATGCAATGTGCACCTTGGTGCACTGTATAATTTGCCATTAAAGGGGGTGTATTCAATCATGATTTTTGTAGACTTTTAAAATCATAGATTTTAATAAACTTTGATTGATTTTCATTGAGTCGTTCAAAACTTTTTAAAAATTTCTAAGACTCTATAGAAAGTCTATATAAAAAACATTCATAAACTTTTATCAACTTTTTTTTTATTATTTTAAAAAGTCTACAAAAGTCGTTAAAATTCTAAATTAAATACATCCTTACAAACTTTCAATGATTTTGATTCTTATCATTTATAATTTTCTTACAAAACATGTTATAATATATCACAAAATTCTTCTTATTAAATAGTTCTTCACCCACATCAATATTCTCAACATTATTATTTTTATCCATAATATGGTGAGACTTATATGCTAATTACTTATATCTACTATATATCTACAATTTTAATAAGAGCCAATAATGTTAGGCCCTTAATTGGAATAAAAAAAAATGTCGGTACTACTTGTTTCTTAAAATAAATGGTTCATAGTATTTTGATTTTAGTATTTTTGATGATTTTCCTTATTTACCCTTTATTATATTATTTTCTTTCCTTAAATAACCTTAAATTTCGTTAGTATAAACTTTATTAACGGAATATTTTGTTAACTATTTATTATTCTTAACTTATATAGTCATTAATTTCTATAAGAAAGGTCGTAGGTTCGAACATCATTCTAATTAGAGTTAGCATAATTGTTAAACATATACTACGAATATGTTAAAATGTATTAAAAATAAAATATAAAATTTAACATAAACTTTAGTCAAATAATTAGTCCGACTAAATACATAGCATTTAATGATTATAAATCAAGAACTTTGATAATCATTTTATTTTCTTTCATTAAAAAGTAATAAATTTAATAAATTTAAGTTCGGTTTTTTTTTTTTCGTTTAATTAATCTTCTTTTGATTATTGAGAACAAAACTTATTATTTCAATTATGCTTTTACCAATGCATGAAAACTTCTAAAGAAATTTGTAAGTTAATTTTTATTATATTGTTATAATAATATCTATTGTAACTTTATATTTTGAATTATTTATTATCATCATCTATTGACCGCAATTGTCATTGACAAACTCTCAAAACAATTTGTCTCAACAACGAATGGAAATTAAAAAAAAAAAAATCAATGATTTCATTATTGTGGATGAAAAGTATGTACGCCACTTTATTCAATCGTTATGTTGTGGAACTGTGTCCACCTTGCAATGTGAACACAGTTCTATGTTCATAATTATTGAAATATATGTTCATAATTATAAAGCTATATATTCATAATTTTTGAACTTCATATTCATAATTATTGAACTCTATATTCACAATTACAGAACTCTGTGTTCATAATTACTGAACTATATGTTCATAATTATAAAGCTATATATTCATAATTTTTTAACTTCATATTCACAATTATTGAATCTCTATATTCATAATTACAGAACTATATGTTCATAATTATGTTCATAACTCTATGTTCATAATTTTTGAACTATATATTCATAATTATGAACAGTTTTGGAACAGTGTCCACCTTTGTCCACCTTGCAAGGTGGACACGATTCTACATCATAATTTTCCCACTTGCTCTTATTACTTAAATTAAAAAATAAATTAGTAGCTACAACAAAAAATAATACATATGCATTTAATTAATTTAGAATTAGATGTCTCACAACACGTGAAACATGTAGGAGAAAACTACCGCTACCAAATATCAACATGTGCTTGTAAAATAAAGAGTTCATAGCACAACTAAGATCTCAGTCATATACACAACAAGACAAATCTAAAACTTCATACACCATAATCTCATTGCATGATGAATCCCTCTATGATGGCAATTTATATCCTACACCACGGCGCGCGTTGCACTATGCGCCCAGATGCAAAACGACGTCGTTTTAATTATTTTTTTTTTGAAATTTCCTGCCCCAGTGAATGGCAGTAGTTTTTTCTTTAAAAAAAAAAACCCGCTGTTCAAGAATGTACATAATGTTATACTAGAATACACATAATGTTATACATGAATGTACATAATTATATAACAAAATATACATACTCTTTTTAAAAGATAATACACATAATCTAACATAATACATAATAAACATAAACTTTTAACATAATACACATCAACTCTTAACATAATACACACAAATTTTCTGATTCGGATGTACATAATTGTATAAAAAGAATGTACATAATTGTATAAAAAATACACATAACTGTATGAACCAATACACATAACGTTGTGAACAAATACACATAACGTTGTGAACAAATACACATAATCTCAGCAACTTCCTACCGTGCCTCCCAACACTACCCCAAAACGACGTCGTTTTGGGAGGCGCGCGGCGCACAGTGCTATGTGCGCCGTGGTGTAGGATATAACGATTGCTCTATGATACTACCAATAACCCAAATGCACATGACACACTACCAAAAAAAAAAAAAAAAAAAAAGACATGTACTGAAGATGAAAATAATAATTTATTTAGACTATCACTTTTAGACTTACTACTTAGATTAGCGTTATTACGAAGTTGCAAACATTTATTTTTATGATAGTTATATATAATCAATCTCTCATATATTATTTTGCATTTATATACTTTAAATTACCAATTTAAATAAATAAATTTAACATTTAATTACCTATGCATGAACATCTTTTATATAATATTGCATTTATATACTTTGAAATACTTATTTAAAAATAAGTATTGGGCATTATCCTATTCGCGCAAAGCGCGTAGAAAAACTAGTATACTAATAAGAGGCCAAGAGAGTTAGGCCTATAATGGGTAGAAAAAATGGCGGTCAAAGTTTTTTAATCAAATGAATGGCTCAGATTGATCAGATTTTAATTTTTTCTTAAGATTTACTAATTTATCCTTAATGAATATGATTATCCGTTAACTTTTCCGTTAAATATTATCTTTTCCGTTAATTTCTGTTAATTCACCGTTAACTTATTCATTGATTTCAATAAGAAAGGTATTAAGTTTGAAGTTCGAACCCCATCCCAATCAAAGTTGGCATATTTAGTACTCTATTTTAGTTTTATTAAATTAAATAATAATAATTTAGTAGTTACAACAAAATATAATACATATGCATTTCGATCTTTAATTTAGAATTATGTATCTACAATGTTTTTATTCAAAAAAATTATTCATTATCAATAAATTAAATAAGAGAAATAATTTCATTAGTTATATTGTCTTTATTTTTCTCCAATATAAAAATTCTTTACATTCAAATTCATCAATTGATTATATTCGCTACATTGTCCCTACAATGTCTTTATTAAAATATATATATATATATATATATATATATATATATATATATATATATATATATATATATATATATATATTCATTATCAATAAATTAATTAAGAGAAATAATTTTATTATATTATATTGTCTTTATTTTTCGCCAATGTAAAAATTCTTTACATTCAAATTCATCAATTGATTATATTTACTACATTGTCTATTATCTTTTTTGTGCACTATTTTTTTAATTAAATATCAAAGTTATAATACAAAATAATGTTATATATTTATTTACCAAGTATTTTATTAATACCATGAAAAAATTAAGAAAAATATAATTAATAAAGCCAATCATATTAGCTACTTGAGGAATTTGTTGACAAAGAGAGTATTCAAATCACACAACAAATTGAAGTGAGAACTATCTCGTAATGTCCTTGTTTGACAATCAGTAGTTAGCGGTTAGCGTTAACGGATTATATTAGCTGATTTGACAAGCGAATTATATCAACGGTTGGTAAAAAGATATTTGAAAAAATTAGCTTTTTAGATTAACATGTAAAATGACCTAAGGGTATACATATATAATAATAATAATAATAATAATAATAATAATAATAATAATAATAATAATAATAATAATAATTGTTTTAAAAAATTAAAAAATATATAATTAAGCCAATCATATTAACTACTTGGGAGATTTATTTACAAAAAGAGTATTCAAATTACACAACAAATTAAAGTGGAAAACTACCTCGCAATGTCCTTGTTTGACAATCAACAATTAATTCTTCAATATTAGTATATATTTAAAATTTTATGCCCTAATTTTTATTTGCTCTCCCTTTATGTCCCGTATTTGATTTCAATTATTTATGCATGAACAATTCTAATATAATCCTGCCTTGATATACTTTAAAGTACTTATTAAAAAAAAACATTGGGCATTATCTTAATCGCGCAATGCGCGTAAAAAACTAGTAGTATTAATAAGCATAAAAAAAACTATTTTATAAGAAATTCATAACAATATTGAACACTAAAATTTAAACTAACAAATTTTTCTAATAAAATATTTAAAAATATAATTACTAGTTGCATAAAATAAAAAAAAATTAAAAATATAATATTAATAATATATGTATAAAATTATACTTGGTATATATTGTTAGGTATCAAGCAAAGAGTTATTTATTTGCAATAGTAATTTGTGACCGCGAACATCAACAAGGTGCTAGGTTTTACAGTCCCAAATTACTGTTGTGAACAGTAATTCGCTATTCGTATTAATCTGTTGTTAATATATA